TGTCTATTTTTTTCTCCCGCATAAGTCTCCTGGATGTAGTATACAACTTGGATCGTGAACTTGTGAGCGCTTCATTGATAAATATTTTACTCACATTGCTCGGATTATTGTTGAACGGTTTCAAGTTTTTCTTGTTTCTATAGACAAGATCTCGGTCAGGATAGCTAACAAAACGCACGATAATATCTCTTTAGCGTTCTTCCATGTAGGGATCTATGAGATCTATCAATCATTGTATGGTCATAATGGACATCAGTTCCCTAGAAAATAAGTTTTTTTATAACGTTTAGGACACATTTATCAGTATTCTGATTTTTTCCTTCCGGAATGCCAGTGAATTTGAGGCAATTGCGACGTGAATATTGCTCCATGTCATCCATTCTTGTTTTAAGTTGGGTGATTTCATTTTCCATGGCAATCATTTTAGCCTGCACACAACTTAAGATTCCAGATTTTATTGAATCATGTTTAAAACTAATTTCTACCGCTTGTTTCACCTTTTGGTCGTCTCCAAAGCGTTCGATGTCTTGCAATATTACACTTAAAATTTTTAAAGACGCATCTGGAGACTCACTTGATTCACCCACATTGTCTAATGAGATGTCCCCTAATGAATCTGGACAAGGCCTTTTGTTTAGCTGTTTTTTTTCTCCATTTTTTGTTTATTATTTGTTTATTTTAACAGCCACGAACATACATGTACCTTAAATGTACAGAACATCGGGTATTATCACAAGGTATCAGGAAAATGGCGGTGGACACTTTTCACACATCTGTATACGCAAACAATGGACACACTGGACACTCAGAGGCATATCCTGAACTGGTTAATCCATCTATTGATCCAAAGTATGATTAATTCCAACTTAGAAATTATGAGATTTGAAGAGATAGTCACGGAGCTGAAAAACACGTCATACCATTGTACTGACCTTTGACCTTAGAAGATAGTTTGGGTTAATGCGAAATCCGGCATCTTCTACCGTAAATTTGTCATTGATATGGCGCATTGCCTCAAAGTAGACTTCAGGGACTTGTGTACAGCTCTATGTAGTTGCTGGTGTTTGTAACTTTGAAATTTCTGGGGCCGTTATAAAGCTTTCAGATGGGTATGCAGGGTTGCTGTGGCAAGCTGCTTCTTTGCGGGATGCTGTTATATGACCACTTCGAAATCTGTTCAATAGCTTTGTGGTAGCTTGTTGATTGGTGGCTCTCTCAACACAGTCTGACTTTTCTTTTTCTTCACAGTCACTTGCACTTTTTCACAGACTTCCATAATATCCCTGAACAGTTCCTGAAAGAGATCTGTGTTAAGCAAGTCATTTAATACATTTGTGAATAGTCCAGTGGGCATATATGCTTCTTGGAATGAATTTTTGACCCTGAATATTGCTGACTGTGCCCCAGTTTGGCTGCGTTTGTTGGGAAATGTCCTTAATTTATCATCTGACGGAGCATCTATAGCTTTAAAGTTAATTTTATTTTTGACGCAAAATCTGTATAATCTTAATTAACAGTCATAATCTTACATTAAATATTCTTATTGCAAGTAAATAAGAATCTGATTTACGTCCAAGTCTATGACCGTTGACCATTTTTCTTAAATTGCTCTGTTATCCCGTAAACTCCAAGATGGCGACTAATGCTAGTAAGGGGACATCAAAAAGACCAACCTGAAAATGCCAGAACTATGACTTCATACGGCGATGTCTTCTTTCCTTCTTCCCAGTTGACAACCACTTTCTCCTCAACCTTACATTCACGTTCGAGCCATCTACTGGGAGCTACTACAGCGGAATTTTCTTTCACGAAGTCATTCATCTTCCTCCTCAGCACCGTAATTCGTTCGGTCACGTGAGAAGTCGGCGCCCAAAAACTAGCCAATGAGAGAAGTGGTAATTTCCGTTAATGTTTAAGAGTGTAATTATTTTCTTCTTGGAATTTCAATAAGTAGTAAAATGTATTTAATACAATCAGAAATAAGGATTTTATTATCATTTCCGTATTTTTTGCAATCCCATATTGCTGTAAATAATTTTTGTTATTTGTCCGAAACCCAGACCAGAAGACAGCGAATGTACATGTGCACGAAGTATTTAAAACGTTTGATGAAAGCTAAAATCTTTCTCTGACTTCATTGCAGAGTTACAAAATAAAAGACTTGACACATTTGCTTATCAATGTGCACTTTCTTATAAAAGCCACATGGCGCATCTCACGCTATTTCAAAGCCTACTCCCGTATCCTGCGCAAGCGCAGTTCGGAACTCCTGGATCAATTACGGAAGTCCTCTAAAAAGCAGTTTTCGGAATGTCTGAGCGTTTAGGACAACAATTTGTACAAAGTCTTGCAAGGTTAAATCTAACTTTAGGTTTTTCAACCTCATAGAGTATTTTAAGGAGGCTGGTGGGACAATTAATTAACCACAAATGAACCATCAGATTTAACTTAGGGACGTCCATTTGATACTGAAGGTGGGGAGGGGATGGCAAATTTTTTATAATACATTTTTCAGATTATTTATTTTCATGCCTGTCGAGGACAGATTATTTATTTTCAAGATTATCAAGGACAGTTTATTTTTTCAATGTTTTACAGCACCTTGATCGACTGATTCTAAAAATAATCATTTATATACCATATTTAGATACAGGATTTGGAAAGGGGGATTGATTGTGTATTGTTTTACGTCCCTCTTGAGAATTTTTCACTCATATAGAGACGCACCGTATGCCGGTGAAGGGCTTCAAATTTAGACCTATACTCGGCACTCAGGGCCATTAAGCACTGAGGGTTCTATATCGTGCCAGCGCCTACCGTGACACGGGACCTACGTTTTTAAGGTCATATCCGAAAGACCCGTGACTTTCACTTCTAATGCCGAGCGCTTAGCAAAGGAACAGTCACTACCTTTGTTTACGTCTAAGGTATGACGCGGCGCCGCGAACGAGAATCGAACCCGGGCCTTCCGATCACGAAGCGAACGCTCTACCACTAGGCTACCGTGACCAGTTTTAGGGAGGGGGAAGATATTGCTTTGTTTAGGTAATAGGTCTGGGGTCGCCGTAAGGGAGTATTAGGGAGCAGGCACTATAATAGTGGTATTGATTATTATGAACCAAAGAATGACATAATTAATACTGGTCATACCGTACTTAGAATGAAGTAATTTCAGGGAGCAAAGCCACCTGAAGCTCTTGGGTTTTTCGATAAGAGTAAGACATTTGTAGGAATTGGTTAGAGGTGTACCAAAGTATGTTATTATTAAGTCATATCATACTTTGAGTGAGAAGGGTCCTTTGAAGCTCTTGGGTTTTTGTGTATTTTAAGAGTAAAACTAGACACAACATTATTGGCATTGTCCCAAAGTACGGCACTATCATTATTATTCGTATCATACTCTGAAAATCTAATTGAAGGCCTGGGGTAGTACATATGTACCTCCCGCTTAAATCTGCCAGTGTATATTTTGTATTTATTTATCTGGAAAGTATTATTATTCGACAAGAAAATTTATATTTTTTGGTGTGTAAGAATTGCTTTGTATTTCAAGTTATCATCACACCTATTAAGTGCAAATTGTCATGTTAATAAACTGACACAAGTATCCAGTCTGGTAATCTGATTTTAAATACTATTTGGTTCTAAAATGGCGAGCGAAGCGATCCAAAAAAAATTGGAGACTTATGAGATTAAAATACACGTAAATAAAAATGAGATTAAAATACACGTAAATAAAAAAGGTATTTTTACATTATTTAATAATGAAATGTCAAGGTCATATTATTTATTTTCTCTGTAGTGGAGGACAGATTATTTATTTTCAATATTTTCAGGGACTAGTATATACTAGAATATTTTCACAGACTAGTTCCAAAATCTGCTCACCACCCCTCAGAATCAAATGGTCGTCTACTTGTTTTTCTAGATACGAAATTAACCATGATAGCGTGACCAGAAAGTCAGGTAGACAGACAGACAGTCAAAGTTATTCCTTCTTCCCGATACACATTGTTAATGTTGGGTTTTTTAAACGAAGAAACCCATTGAAAGTTTGCTGTTTACCTATTTCAGGTGATGAATCATACAACTTGAGAAGAGAAATTATCGAAGGGAAAAGGGAAGGATATGGAAAAAACGAACAGTATTCAATCTCAACGTCCATTAAACAAATATACAAAATAAGAGCAGAGCAAACACGGACCTCCGAAACATTAGAGGTGGGATCATGTGCCATGGAGGAGTGAGCATCCCCTGCCGACCCGTAACACCCGCCGTGTGCTCGTTGTCATAATCAGGAAATAACGGAAAAAATCCGTGGTCAATTCAGTGTATAAATAATGGACTAACAATTCGTATGAAAAACGTCAGTCAGCATTTCATTCAATGATAAATTGTATTTGCTGACAAGGTCATTGTATCGACCATAGAATTTACGAAATGATGACTTTAACGAGACTGTTGATATTCTTGTTTCATCAACTTGCTTGTCAATAATTTACCTCGTTTAAGAAATTGTTCATACGTAGAGCATGCTCTTGCGTATCGAATCAACTGAGATATAAATACTCCGTATGCAGGTGATGAAGGTATATTGCTGCATAAGTAGGGGAAGTTGACGATAGAAAAGTTAAAGTCATCACGTTTATCATATAGCTTGGTTGTTAGATTACCATTTGTGTCTTTTTCAAGTAAAATATCCAAGGAAAAAAACAAAGCTGTGGAAGAGTACCGAAAAATCATGCAACAGCAGAGCGAGGTTATAGAGGTCCAGGGGAGATATCCAACAGCTCTGGAAATCATAATCACAATATTACAGGAGTCTACGCAGTCCCTTTCGCCATTTCCCCTTTCCCATGTTATAAAATTTAGTTGATAGTTTAATCCTTATAAACTTTAGTTGATAGTTTAATCCTTATAAGCTCTTTAGTGAGTTTACAGTATTTGATTTTAGGAATTAAATCTTATTTTCTTTATATTTTAGAAAAAATCAACAATGTTTAAAAGTTTACAGGGAAAGTAATTTTGTTGATCACGTGAAAATGATGAGCAATTCTCTGTCTCAAGGCAAATCCATCATTGTCATTTCCATTGTATAGATCATGGTTGTGGTACACTGGCACAGCATTGTTCCCTGCCTGCAGGGGGACCCTCTCACTAATAGCCTTGTTGTGCAGCCTAAAGCAGCATTCAATGATTTTAATGCACTTCTCTGTTTTGTGAAGACATCTGTATGAAAAAATAATGCTTTTGTAAATATGAAACTGGAGATGTATTTAAAGGTATTGTTCTTCAGTTTCTCTCATGGTGCTGTCCTTATTTTTTTTTTTTTTAATTATGATAATTGTGTTGTGGTGAATATTATCCATTACAGGTTATATTTTATATTTCGAGCTTGATTGTACACAAAAATTGTATAATAATTAGGAAAGATATCTTAATCTGCTCTTTAGAACGCCAAACTCTCTCGACAGCATTCTTCGTGGAGCAGTGGGAGGATTTGTACCGGTGCTCCTGCTGGTTGGATGGCTGAGCAAATGGTGTCAGCAACCATGTCTTCAGGGGATAGCCAGAATGACACAGGAGCCATCCATTCACTCTTCCCATTATTTGTGGCAAGTAGGAATTAGATATATTTGCTCATATATAATTAATGAGAAATGCCAGTACAAACTATGTTAACAGTTGCATGTATACACATCTTTATTATTCTAGATATATAATGAAGAATTTATGCGTGTAGCAAAAGGTCTGTTAGGGCGAATCGCTATTAGCGCCGAACCGCCCCATAGCAGGACGAAATGATTGACTACCGTTAGCCCTCCTCTTTCAAGATCGTTAATGATTGAAGAACATACTTCTACAAGTGCAGGGATGACATGGGATCTAGAAGGAGTGTTGCTAAAATGCGGAACGGAAAACGGAAATTTTTTGTCAAACAAATAACATAGATTCGATATAAATCAGATAAAAAAAAGCAATATTCCTGCTGTATAAATCATTTCTAATAAAAAATTTATTGTTGAATATAGTATAATCATGATTCATAAACACCTTCCGTGGAAAAAAAATGGTACTAAAAGAAATCCCCCCCCCCTCCCCGACTATCACGAAATAGTTGTCCTGTTTGGGCAAATGACATATCCCCCTTTTTTTGCTTGTCAAATTTTTTCCTGACCCAAACCCCACCCCCTGTTTCAATTTGTTTCCAATGTCAATGTCTGTAAAGACAAAAAAAAAACAACTTGTGATATTCAGATTGTGCATGCAGGGTCGAATTCCCCAATGATGAAAGGGGGAGTGGCAGTTTCGAGTCTGTGTAAAAGCCCACATCCACATTAAAAATTGATTTATTAAACCGTAAGTATATTTTGAACACAAAAAGAGGGCAAACCTATTACAACTTTTCAGATCTTTACGATGAGTGGGAAAACAAGCTCATTTTTACGGGTCATTCATATACACCCCCGCCCCTAAACATAGGTACACACATATGTACCACAAACAAACATAATTTAACATCACTGAATGAAAAGATTCTGCATTTTATCTACCACATGAAAGTTTTCCAACTTTTCTATCCAAAATTAAAAAAAAATAGAAAGTTTCTGTATTTTGAATAAAATTTTAACCAGTGTGTTTAAGACATGTTTATTTGACCTTAACGTGAAGGTTTGCCCTATCTTAAGATAATTTTTTTTAATTTTACTTTTTCTTACCATGATTCATATAGATATCAAATATTTGCCCCCTCCCTATAGATTGAGTAGAAATAAAAGAAAATTGTTTTTAAGCAAGGTATTTTTTCACTTTTCAGGTTTAGCGGAGCGGATAGTGGGGAAAATATTTCACTTCCGGATACAAGCACCAAAATTTGCATGAAGGTTCTTTCACTATTACTGAAATAAGAAATATCGTTGGCCACTCAAGTTTCGGCCATTTTCAAGATGGCCGCCACTTATTTCAAAATGGCGCCTTTTTCATAATTTTGCCTAATATTTTCATCCTTCCAAGGTAATACTTTTATTTCTTCTAAAAAAATAAAAGGGAACTTGGAACATGATACAATGTGAGCTCCATTTTCTATATACATACGCTGCGCATGCGCTTAAATACAAACAAAAGTTGTTTTAAGACAGTGACGACTGAATAGTGTATAGGTGCATAAAGCAATTGAAGGTTATCCGGACCTGAAGCAGTTGAAGATATATTACACCAACATTTTAATAGTTCTTGACATGATGCACAATTGCTGGCAAGAAAGTACAGTGTGGGGCACAAAATCCACGTTTTTTTTTTACTCAACCCTAACTGGAAGGTGAGGGTAAAGTTAGCCATTTGCATACTAGTAGTGACTGACAAGATGAATGACCAGCATGCAATCCAGGTCTCCAAATCTTGACAAGAGCAGCTCTTTAGGCAGGGGATCAAGGCAAGGGTCATTAATGATATTCGCATTGTACATGATGATAACAAATTCTTCCAGTGCATTTATTAAAGGTTTGACAAGGGGTTCTTCAAAATTGGATTTGAATATTTCTTTGGCATTCTAAAATATATTCATGACCTGTCATGAAGTCCTTTTACCTTTCCAAAACAAAGACCGACCCTGTATCACTACCCATGAATGTATGAAAGAATTGTAATGCATTTGATATGGTTCCAGTGATCTTACAACATCATAAATTGTTATTCATCTCAAATCCTTGCCCTTTCAAAATGTCATTCATTACCTGATCCACATTTAATTCATCAAAATAGTTACACAACAACGTCCGTATCCGAACTATCCTTGTAGATTGAACTGTGCCGCTACCACCCGGTACTGCATTTTAAGCATTTTTTGCATGAAGGAACATACGGGTGTCAGCTTCTTCATCTTAGCAAAGCGTTATAAAGATGGTATCTATAGCTTTGCTTATATTGACAGTTTTCCCTTTACTACAATAATAGCTGCCTCTTTAACAGTAAATATAATTCTGCTTGCTAACCCCCCTCCCTGCAATTCAATTTTGTTCTTGTCACACTGAAAGAAAGTGTTCCATGACTTTGGTGGTTCCCATTGAAAGAGAGAGAGAGGGGTGTCCTGGCTTTCATGATCAGAAAGTTCTTGTATATCCCATTTCCTAGTGTGACAAAAAATAAATAACAGAAAAACTGCTATAGTCATATTCAAAAATTGCCAACTTTGACTTTGAAGAATCAGAATTTTGTTTTTGATTGAAAATGCGAAATTTATCCTTCTGAAAAAGTTCATAAAACCTTGATTATCACCTTCATATACTCTTAAAAGACATACCCAATATTGTTCTTTCCAAATGTATCCCTTTTTAGGTCACCTGAGTAAACTCAGGTGACCTATTGCTATCTGTTTTCATCCGTCGTCGTCCGTCGTTCGTCGTCCGTCGTACGTCGTCCGTCGTGTGTTAACATTTGAACATTTTCAGCTTCTTCTCTGCAACCACTGAACCAATTTCAACCAAATTTGGCACAAAGCATCTTTGGGGGAAGGGGAACAAAAATTGTGAATTTCATGATCCCTGTCCACCCTGGAGCCTGAGGGGTGGGGCCAAAACCACTAAAATTAATGCAATCTTTAAAAATCTTCTTCTTTACTCCTAGACATCAAGCAGTCAATCTGTTTGCATGATTGTAATTAGCATTGAGTCCTCTACCAAAATTGTGAAATTCATGGCCCTGGGGTCAGGGGTTCTAGTGCTAGGGCGGGGCTAGCACTAAGTATATAGTGAAAATGCATTATTTCTTTGAAAATCTTCTTCTCTACCCCTGGGTATTAAATAAATGAACTAAGTACATAGTTATGATGAGCAAGAGTGCCTCTAACAAAATTGTGAATTTTATGGCCCCAGGGTCAGGGGTTCTGGTGTTAGGGCAGGGCTCTATTGGTTTTATATAGTGAAAATACATGATATCTTTGAAAATCTTCTTCTCTGCCCCTGGGTATCAAATATACTAAATAAGTGCATAGTTATGATGAGCAAGAGTGCCTCTAACAAAATTGTGAATTTTATGGCCCCAGGGTCAAGGGTTCTGGTGTTGGGGGGGGGGGGTTCTATTGATTATATAGTGAAAATACATAATTTCTTTGAAAATCTTCTTCTCTGCTCCTAGGTATTAAGTAAACTAACTAAGTGCATAGTTATGATGAGCAAAAGTGCCTCAACCAAAATTGTGAAAGTTATGGCCCCAGGGTCAAGGGTTCTGGTTCTAGGGCGGGGCTCTATAGATTATATAGTAAAAATACATGAATCTTTGAAAATTTTCTTCTCTCCTTGTAGGTATTAAATAAACTAAATAAGTGCATAGTTATGATGAGCAAGAGTGCCTCAACCAAAATTGTGAATTTTATGGCCCCAGGGTCAAGGGTTCTGGTGTTAGGGCAGCACTCTATAGATTATATAGTAAAAATACATGAATTCTTTGAAAATCTTCTCCTCTGCTCCTAGGTATTAAATAAACTAACTAAGTGCATAGTTATGATGAGAGAGTGCCTCAACCAAAATTGTGAATTTTATGGCCCCAGGGTCAAGGGTTCTGGTGTTGGGGAGGGGGGGGGCTCTATTGATTATATAGTGAAAATACATGAATTCTTTGAAAATCTTCTTCTCTGCTCCTAGGTATTAAGTAAACTAACTAAGTGCATAGTTATGATGAGCAAAAGTGCCTCAACCAAAATTGTGAAATTTATGGCCCCAGGGTCAAGGGTTCTGGTTCTAGGGCGGGGCTCTATAGATTATATAGTAAAAATACATGAATCTTTGAAAATTTTCTTCTCTCCTTGTAGGTATTAAATAAACTTAATAAGTGCATAGTTATGATGAGCAAGAGTGCCTCAACCAAAATTGTGAATTTTATGGCCCCAGGGTCAAGGGTTCTGGTGTTGGGGAGGGGGCTCTTTTTATCATATATTGAAAATACATGAATTCTTTGAAAGTCTTCTTCATTCTCCTAGGAATTAAATAAACTAAGTACATAGTTATGATAAGCAAGAATGCCTCTTTTAAAATAATGAATTTTATGGCCCCAGGGTCAGGGGTTCTGTGTTAGGGGGGTGGAGCTGTATTGACTATATAGTGAAAATACATTAAATCTTGAAAATTTTATTCTCTGTCTCTGGACAGATGAACTACCTTTAAAGTTATGATGAGCAAGGGCCCTGATCTTGCAGACTTGTGAATTTCAAGGCCCCAGGGTCAGGGGTGTGGTAGGGGCTCTACTTATATACTGAAAATGAATTTATTGTTTGAAATCTGCTTTTTTGTATTTATAAAACATTTATTTATTTTTTGATATTAAGAGTGCCTTTTTAAAATTTGTGCAATGTGTGGACCTAGGGTCAGGGGTTTATGTCACAGTGTTACGGGCACTACTGATTAGTTGGAATGCATTTTTGTTCCCCTACTCTGTGTATGGGTATTCAGTAACCAAGCTAAGCATCTGCTAAGTGTATTGATATGATGATCAATGGTGCCTCTTTCAAAATTTTGAATGTCATATAGCATCTGGCTTAAAACATGAATTAAATTCAATAACTGGAAAGTTGTTGCATAATGCTCAGGTGACCTATAAGGCCCGTGGGCCTCTTGTTAAATATTTCATCTTTCAGTTTCATCAGTTT